GCTCCCGCGTGCATGCCGCAGGCGCCCTGGTGCACCTCCATTACAGCCTTCGCGCCCTCTTCGTTCGTAAGGCACCTTAGGTACGCCCCTGAGTGCGACCTCTTGTACAGCTGGCCCTCCAAGATCACACATCTTGCGGCCTTGCGCCTTACCTGCCACGCGAGCTTGCCGTCCTCCGGGATTGCACCACGAAGCAGGTACACCCTGATTGGGGTCATCCAATTCTCTCCTTCCCCTTCTCCTTCTTCCGCAATCCCCACCACGTACTCTTCCTGGGATTGCTCCTTGGTTACTATCACGTACCTTTCACTCTCGAAGTCTGTGGCCGTGGCTAGCTTTGATAGGGCGTCCGCGTGGGCATTCTCCTCCCGCGGCACATGTACAAACTCGACCTGTCCGAACCATGCACGCTGTTCCTCCACCTTTTTCAGGTACGCGCCCAGCGCCTCTTCCTTTACATCGAAAACTCCATTCAGCTGATTCACCACCAAGGCGGAGTCAGAGTAGACCTGGACCCTTCGTGCTCCCAACTCGCGCGCTGTGCGTAACCCGGCAATTACCGCTTCGTATTCCGCCGCATTGTTCGTTTTCAGGGACGAAAATCGGAGGGCCACCTCATGAGTTGTGCCCATGGGGTTGAAAACAACTATGCCCGCGCCGGCGCCAACTCGGCTTGCCGCTCCATCAACGTACACCCGCCAATCCTCCTCCAAGCCCTTTCCTTCACTCACCACGCCCTCTGCAGCAAAGTCCGCCAGTACCTGCGCTTTGATTGCGGGTCGCGGCGCGTACTTGACATCATACTCACTCAGCTGCACGGCCCACTTCACCATGCGCCCCGCCACGTCCATCGAGCCTAGCGTGCTCCTCAGCGGTAGGTTGGTAAGGACGATCACCGTATGCGCCTGAAAGTAGGGGCGCAGTTTTTCTGCCGCTACTACCACTGCAAGGGCTGCCTTTTCGATGGGCGCGTACCGCGTCTCGGGGCCCGTCATTACCTTGCTAACGTAATACACCGGGCGTTCCTCTTTGTCCGGGCCCGCTCTGGAGACGAGGACGGCGCTCACGGCAGCTCGGGAAACCGCTATATATAGGTATAACGCCTCGCCCTTTCGGGGCGCCGTCATGACCGCGGGCGCCACCAATAAGTCCTTCAACTGTTCAAACGCTCTATCACACTCGCTGGTCCATTTGAAGCGCGTGGCCTTCTTCAGGACGCCGAAAAAGGGGGCGCCCTTGTCGGCCGATCTGGGGATGAAGCGCCCCAACGCTGCCAGGCGCCCGTTCAAGACCTGCACTTCATTGGGCGTCCGCGGTGGGCTGAGGCGCCTGATCGCCTCTACCTGCCTTGGATTGGCTTCGATCCCTCTCTTTGTGATCATGAAGCCCAGGAACTTCCCGGCTTCCGCCCCAAACACGCATTTCAACGGATTGAGGCACAAAGTGTGGGCGCGCATCGTTTCGAAAGTCTCGCGCAAGTCGCTCAGGTGATCCTCTTTCCTTTTGCTCTTCACTACCAGGTCGTCCACGTACGCCTCCACGTTTCGGCCGATTTGTCGCTGGAATACCGTGTTTACCATGCGCTGGTAAGTGGCGCCGGCGTTCTTCAGCCCGAATGACATGACCTTGTAGCGGAAGTTGCCGAAGGGAGTAGCGAACGCCGTCTTGTCCCTATCCTCCTCGCACATGAGGATTTGATGGTACCCCGAGAACATGTCCAGGAAACTCAACGCCTCGTGATATGCGGTCGCGTCTACCAACTGGTCTATGCGCGGCATGGGGTAGGCGTCCGTGGGGCATACCCTGTTCAGATTCGTGTAGTCCACGCACATCCTCCAGTCTCCCGTCGCCTTTGGGACGAGTACTACGTTCGATAGCCATGTTATGTACCGCGCTTCTTCCACGAACCCTGCCTCGAGTAACTTTCCCACTTCTTTGCGCAGGGCTTCCTCTTTTTCCTCCGAGAGGGGTCTCCTTTTTTGCTGCACGGGGCGCGCGCCTCTCTCCACCGACAACCGGTGCAGTGCGACCTCGGGCTTCACACCCGGCATCTCCTTGGCGCTCCACGCGAACAAGTCGGCGAACTCCTTCAGGAGCTCCACCAGCGCCTCGGCCGCCTCCCCGCTAGTGTGCGCCGAAATGCGCACGCACCGTTCGGGGCGCTCCGCGTCCAAAGGGACTTGGACTTCGGCGTCAGCTGCTTCCGCCCTAGGCGTGTCTTCCGGTCGCACGTCAATGTTATACATGCGCGCCCTTTTTGCGAGCCGCGCTTCTGGTGAGGCTTCCCCTCGCGACATCCCCACTCCCTTCGGGGTAATGAATTTCAACACTTGATGGCATGAGGACGCAACCCCATTGAAGAGTGCCAACAACGGGCGCCCCAGGATTGCATTGTAGGGGGATGGACAGTCCACGATGCCGAATTCCACCGTGTGCGTCACCTGGTGCGCCTCGTCTCCCAAAGTCACCTGCAACCGCACTCGCCCCACCACTCTGGCCGGCACTCCCGAGAATCCTATCAGGACTGACTCCGCCGGCCTGACCAGGCTCGGGGATAGTTGCATCTTTTCGAATGTGGATCTGAACAGCACATCCATCGAGCTCCCCGTATCCACCAACATCCTCTTCACTTCACATCCAGCCACCACCCCTCTGATCTCAAGCGCCTCCACGGAGGGCACCCGACACGCCTCTTCTGGAGCCTCGTTAAAGTGAATATGCACCGCCGCGCGGGCGCTCGCCGTGGCCGATTTCAGGCGCCTGCCTTCGTCAAGCTTCTGCCTTAGGTCCAGTGTGCCCGAAATGGCCTCAATTGTGAGCCTCACGCGCTCCGGGTGCGCCTCGGGCTCGATGTCGAACGGGGGCGGGGGCAGCACTTCTTTTTCCATGGGGGCTTTCCCTTCTCCATTGGGGGCATCCCTTTGCTCCACTCCCTCCTTCTTCTCCTGCACCGCGAAGGCCCTCTGCGTCCTATCGTCCCCCTTTCTCACGAACTCGTTCAGCATCCCTCGATCTACCAGCCCCTGGATTTCCGACTTGAGCTGATAGCAGTCAGCCGTGTGGTGGCCCCTCTCTCGGTGGAACTCACAATACCTGTCGAGGTTCTGCTCGTTCGGGCGTCCCTTCATCGGCCCCGGCCAGCGGATATGGTACCCCTTGTCCTTCACAAATTGCAGCACATTTTTCAGCGAGTCATTAAGCTCGGTGAAGTTCCCTCCTCCCCTTGGTGGAAATCGCGGTGGCTCTGGGCGTCGCATGTTCGCCGAGAAAGGCGCGCTCTGGTGGTGTGTGGTGAAGGGCGGTGGGCGTGGCGCCCTGGCGACCTCCGCCTCATCTGGGCGCGCGTCCCTTCGCTCCAACCTCCTTGCCGCCAGGGTCTCTTCTAACATGATCACCTTTTGCACCCTCCGATCCAAATCTTCGGTGGATATCACATCCCTCTTGGACAACGCCCGGCACAACTCTTCACTCGTTGTACACTCGTCCAGGCAGCACCCTAGGACTGGGGGCTTCACATCCTTGACCGCCATGACCACTGACATCCAGCGCTCATAGAAATCCCTGAGCGCCTCGCCCTTCCGCTGCTTGACCTTGAACAAGGCGCTAATGGTAAGACTTCAGCGCTTCCGGCTGGCGAACTTTGAAAGAAAAAGGGCCGCGAACTGTTCAAAGCTATCGATCCGTCCTTCCTCTATTTGATGATACCAATCCAACACTACGCCCGTGAATGTGGAAGGGAAAGCGCGGCATAGGGTGGCATCAGAGCTGTTGTACAACTGCATCTTCGTGAAGTAGTTGTTTAAGTGATCCTCCGGGTCGGCCGCCCCGTCGTAAGTAGGGAGCGCCGGGATGACAGAGTTCGCTTGTTCGGCCAATAAGCTTCGTGCGAGTGGTTGTCGCACCCCCCACGTTCTCCCCTGTCGTCGGTGCGCCCATCCATTGTGCTCGTCGAAATCTGAGGCCATGTGCTTCGTCAGGTGCCCTAAATCTTCCATGCGCCTCATCGCGCTGGATGCCCCTTCCTCCTCTTCCTCTCTATCCCTTCTCTTTCCCATAGGGGGGGCTGCTGCCTCGGCTCCCTTTTTCAACATTTCCACCTCTTTCCTGAGCGCCTCAAGCGCCTGTTCCTGTTGCTCAACTATGTGGAGCAGATGTTCCTTCGTGAGGGTAATGCCCTCTGATTGGGCCGTATGCTGCGCCCCGTCCTCAACTGCCGCATGCGCTTCTCCCGACAGCCCAGGCTCCTCCCGGGACGCCTCTGCCGCCGCCGGCCCTCCTTCTCCTTCACCTGCCCCAAACGCCTCCATGACCCTCTACTCTCCCTTTGTCGCTATGCGCTTTCACTTACTCCCCCTATCTGGCGCGCCAATTGTTCGTGCCCCGTAACTAGGCGCCCCGAACCTCCGCGTACGACCGACTTGGCACGCCCAAACCTACACGCAACACGGCCAAACAGAGTCCTATGAAGGACTCGTTAGCACTCCAACGCTCAAGTCAGATCCCCTTTCTAGAGAGAGAAGTGAATAGTAATTTTAGAGAGAAGTCCCAACCTGAGTAAATGAGGTTCACCAACTCTCCTTTTATACCTCGGGTCTGGCCGACCGATATCCCCGTCTCCCGCCTGTCGTCTGACCCGCATTAAATGTGCCGTACGACCAGGTCCCATGCGCCTCGACCACCTGACACCGTACCCAGCCCTTCGAGGCGCATGACGTCAGGTGGTCCCTCCTCCGTACCCTCCTTCCCGTTGCAACTCCTTGTCGCATGCGCCTGGTGTCAGAGCCTGGGCCCCACATGGCCTGGTGCTCCTTTTTGATGAATGGACCAACTCCCCCATGCCCCCTTGGGCCTATTGGGTCATGCTCCACTACTTAGCCTGGCCTGCCTAACTTCTCACTCTTGGGCCCTGCCAGCTTGACCCCTTTTGGGCCGCGGTCGTGCCCCCAACAGTACATCTGCTTGTATAATAACAGTACAAGGCTTTAGTTTCTGCATTTGCTAAAGAAATTGGCAAGTAAAAGTGTGTTCCAATGCTTTAACTGTAATCCAAACAAGCAAAATACCACAATCTTCCTGAAAGCAGTACGGTTGAATAGAAAAATCTCTTTGAATGCCTAAAGTACCAGAAAATCGACAATCAAAATGATCTGAACAACAGAGTTCAATGCCAACCAGCCCCACTTGAACGATACAAAAAATACAAAATTTTCAAAGGGCTTCTTCTAGCACTATAATGACTCGAGTAACAGCTAATAATGAACCTTCAACAATTGCAAACCGATACCAGAACCCCTCAATAACAAGATACAAAACTCAAAAACTATAAATTTACTGCTGAGAGATGCCAACTAGCTATAATCCCATCATCCATGTCATTTCTTTGTCTGAGTAACAAATTTTTTCACAACATAGCAGTCTGGCGGTGTAATGTTTGTGTAGTAATTCTGGATGGTCTCCGTGATCTCAAACCCAAACTTCTTGTAGAAGTTGATAGCATCTTCATTGTTTGTCTGCACATGCAAGTATATCTCTGGAACGTTCTGCTTCGAGCAGAGATCAAGAACGTGATTCAACAGTTTCGTCCCTGCATATATAAGTTCAGAGATTCATTTAAAGAGATGCATATAACAAGATATTGTTTTCTCTATAGCTGACTATATAAGCAGCTAGTCACTACCACTAACAGTAGAAGCAATGCAGCCCAATATGGAATTACAAAAGAAGCAAAACAGGCAAGCTGACTAAATAGTACAAACATCAATTACATGTTCTGGCAAAAAACTAATTGGACGTTTGCTGACTCACCAATGCCTAGCCCACGATATGGAGCTAACACGCCCAAGGTCATAATGTAAACACAGACAGCCCCGCCTTCCTTCTTCTCTAGGCGACATGCGATGGCACCAACGCAGATATCACTGTAATATGCTGAATAAGGAGAAGATACCCCAGAATCGCGTTAGTCAGCGGATAATGGATTAATGCAGGAGGAAACACTATGTGACATAATACTCCATTTTCCCTAACTTCAACCCAGTGTAACAATACAGGCATCATAAATTATAATCAACCAAGTGCTTCTTGAACCTATACAAGCAGTATGGTCTACTACGAGCTAAAACAACCATCTCGCGAGCACACAGAGAAACCATTAATAAACTAAGGGGTTCAAAGATAGGAATGAAAGCTATATAAGTTCCAGCAAGGGCTAAAAGTAAGCATTTCACTCTCTCTAACTGCTTTTCATCACTACTAAGACTCGAGCAGGAGCATTTGGAAAATCGTAGTTTCAGAAGATTGCCCAAGCATAAGAGCTTTTGTTCTGCACATTGCTAATCCATTTCGCACACAACAGCCGCGAATACCAAATGAACTAACAATCAATGAGCGAACCCACAAGCAGAAGCCAAATCGCAATAAAACAAACCCTACAGTCGCAGAAACAATTTGGGGGGGAAAACGGTTCAATACCGAGTTTGGTGAAGTCACCGGAAGCGAGAGCGTCGGAATAGTACTTGTCATTGTAACGGACGGGGAAAAGGACGGTGTTGAGCTTCTTGAGCTGCATCACGTTCTTGTCCCGCACGCCATCTAAGGATATCGACACTTCTCGACCCGCCCCCATTTGGGATTCTCTTCCAGCCGAAATGGTCAAGGAGACGACGGCGGCGGCGGCGGCGGCGGAGTAGAAGTCTCTGCTGGCGTATGTTATGTTGAGATTTTGCTCCCGATTTGGGTAAAACCGCGGCGGCTCTGCTTAGCTGCTGCTGGTCAGGATCTACGTATTCGGGGTGAAAAGAAGAACGAAGAAGAGAAGAGGCGTATCCAGTCAGCTCTCTCGTGGGTGTGGGCCTGATAATTGGCCCTATGGGCCCCCAAATTATGATAAGTAGCCAAAGCCCAGTAGTCCGTTAAACAAAACACCGGCAACTGATTGTAATTGTAGGGAGGGGGAAGACCAAATGCGGAAGGCAATAATCGTCGGCAGAAGCATCGCCGGAGTATGCTACGCCACTGCCTTGGAGAAGCAATTCTGGGACAATGTGGTGTTGGTTGGCGATGCAGCTCACCCTACGACTCCACATTACTTGAGGAGCACAAACTTGTCAATGTTAGACGCATCGGTTTTAGATACGTGTGTGGAGAAGTCGAGTTGAGAATTTGAGTTCGGGTCTGGATGAATATCAGCAGTTTCGGATGCCAGTGATTTCCAGGCAAGTCCTGCATTCACGTCGTGTGGGGAGGATCAAACAACGATTGAGTGTTCATGATCGAAAGAAGTTTGACCCCAAGGCTGCTAGTTCGGAGGATTGTGAAGAACTTCAGTATAAAAAAACATGCCCTTCTTAGCTAGCTAGGCTTCTCTGTCGCTAAAACTGCTGATGTGACAGTAGTTAAGGCGCGATTCTCTCTATAGCCAAGAAGTTCCAGCGACTGCAGAACTCTCAGTTCATCCCAAGGCACTCCAGGACAGACACTACACTATTATGAAAGAACGAACAGCACTAAACTGCAGCATTACAATGGAAATGGATCAACAACTCCATTGCCCTAGGGTTTATTCAAGTTCGAGGAAACTAATTTACAAAAATGCCTCATTTTCGCACAAGTTCTCACAACAACAGTTAAAAGAATAAGATAAATAGTACATTTTGGGAATAATAAGATACTGAATTCGGCGATAACTTGATTCTTAAATTGTTGCAACGAAAATATATCCTTACACTTTCGTAGGCCATGAAGCTTGGGCAGACATGATTATGCCAACAATTACTCCAAACAGTCCTAGAGCACTACCAAATATCTCAATCACGAGAATCTTCACAAAAAGTGAGGAGTTTTGGGCATCGGATAATGCACAGCTGCTTCCTATGATTCCCACGCACAGCCTGTTAATGATATGAAGATTAACAATTTGGAAAACGGTAATCCCAGATGCAAAACTTGCCCTAGAAGTTAAGTGGGACTACAGGATGTATTACGTACCCGCAAACAAGGTTAGCAAAGCCAACGATAATCCCAGATGCGAAAATTGCATATCCAGCTCTAAGGGATTCAGGAGCATAGATCTGTGAAGCAGGAACACTCTCCAACTTCGTCTGCAGGATAATTGCCACAATAACACCGTATATGGCAACGGCTTCACAAAAGATTACACTGCAAACAGAACAGCAAATTCAACCAGATCATCCTCCAAACTCCAAAGGGCATTGCAACTGTTTATAGTTTTACATAAACAACTGCTAAGCAACAGAATATGCTATCAACATGAAAATGAAGGCAAAGACTATATTGGCACTGAAACAGAAAACCATAAAACGATATTTCTCATCCAAACCATAGCCAGATCATTATATGCTCAAAGATTCTACCGCACTCATTACACCAACCAAAGTGGTATTGCAGCTGCGCACAAAGTTTCACATGTAGATACTCAGTTACATCCCCCATGGAGAGGAAACAGTTCCTGGTACAAGCTCCATGCTCATTAAGCAAATGGTCACTGGTACACCAATGCCAAATAACTTGAATGAACCTTCTAATGGTGTTAGCAAGTAATTTGCTTTCCAACCATATGGCCATTCAAAAGTTCAGAAGAACGTAAATGCAAGTGACATTCGTCCAAGAGAAAACCAAGTTCCAGAACAAGAAGCAGGCAACTTAATGTGATGATCCTACCATCTAACTCAGTAGCAGCACCTATTCTACAAGTCAGTGATGAAACAACATGAAATCAAGCATTGAGAAAATCAGACAGATAAAGCAGCAAAAAGTACTGGAAGCTCAGAATCGCACATCTAGGGCTACAAAACCGATCCCTGAATCAAGACCAACAACACAATTACAAAAATTCTGGAATTCGGCACCTGATGAGATTCTTAGAGGTGATCCGAGGAGCTTTAATGGCTGCGCCGATCAAGCTACTCCCAGTAATGTAGATTCCCCTGCAAATTCCAATCCAATCAAACCAAATCAAATCGAACGAAAAGCAAGTCATGAAGCACATCCGTAGAGCCAGGAAATCAACATTACATCCGAGAAAAGATGCAGCTGAAGTTAGAAAAAGTAACAGAGGCACGTAAATGAGGGAACAGAGCAGTACCAGGCGGCACCGAGGACAGAGACTCCGATGGAAACGGCGATACCGATGGCGGAGAAGGTGTAAGGAGAGATCCTAACGAGCGCTCGAGCCCAGGAACTCGCATCCCCGACTATCAACGCACTCGACATTTTCCGGCGTCGATTCGATCGAACTTCGAGTGTTCGGGCTGAATTCCGGTGTGAATTTCTTCTCCCTCGTCGAGCGATTGAACGTCTGGGGGAAATCAGAACTGGCGTGGAGGGAGGAAGAGGGGAGAGAGTAAGAGCGTGAGACTAACTAAGGATGAAGAGACATCGCGCGTGCGATTCACTGCTCCACGATCCCGGTTGTCAAACTTCCGTGTCGTTTCGTTGCCTAAGTTCACTACTGCTGCATAAGCAAGGGTTGCAACGGCGCCGTATTAGCTCAGTAACAGCCCGAACCACATATCTAGGCTGAAAATTATCATACCACCGCCCGAACTATCGATTTTGTTGCAAACCGATCACTTCACTATAGAGGTGGCAATTAGGATCCAAATCCATGAATCCAATCCATCCACCAAATTATCCACCTAATCCAATCCATTTGATCCAAATCCAGTTGGATTGGTGGATTCATGGATCAATCCATGGATCCAAATGGCAAATTATGATTTGGTACATATATTTTTTATATTTTACATTTTGGTACCTAAAATCTATATTTTTATACGAAAAATATCATTGGAAAATTACATTTTGGTACCTAAAATTTTTCATTATGATATTTTGGTACCAAAACTTTTCACATTTTACATTTTGGTCCAAGCCTTGGATGTCATTTGGATTCATGGATCAATCCACCAATCCATTTGATCCAATCCATGAATCCACCAATCCATTGGATCCAATCCATTTGATCCATGGATCCACCAATCCAATCCACGAATCCACGATTCCGATCCAATTGCCACCTCTACTTCACTATGATAATTGTACAAAAATTAGTGAATTTGTAGTCGCAATGATATCAATTTCGCCCAACATTATTTTTTCCCTTAAGGCTATTAGGCTAATTACCTTCAAGACCTCTGAAGTTTGTAATAGACTTTGGATTTAGAATGATTGTGAAAAATCAAGAAGAATCCTCCACCTCTAATATTAAGTCAAACCCGGATTATTGTTATTTTTAGCTTTATGTTGATGTGAAGTCATTACTCATTAGTCGAACGGTGTGAGTCGGAATCAACAATGATATTACAAAGAAAGTTCATCTTAAGAGAGTTTTGGTTATTTTAGTTGAAGGTTTGAAACGATAATTATGTTCATATGCATTATCAAACCAAATCAATATCAATTTGTGATGGCTCTTACGAAACTTTAAATGTGTTACATGCACTATGAATAATAATTAGGTATGCGAATTTTAAAAGATGGTTGTTGTTTGAATGTAGTAATGTCAAGATCCATGAATGAGTTGTTGTTTGCAAATTATCAAGTTCATGGCCAAAAGTTTGCGGAAACATCTTTTGATATTCTCTTAAACGATAATTGAATTCTCGTGAACTAAGAAAAAGAAATCAGGATGTATAAAATATTATGATTAAAGGATGAGCTAAACTTTAAGTTAAGAAAAGAAAGAGGAAAAGTTATCATACCTTAACAATAAATAGTTGTTATGTTTTGTTGGGTAAATGGCGTTGAAAGTTTGCTGTGGAACGGGATAGTCGGTGGCACAATCTTTTGGTTCTCAAATACTCGTATGAGCTCTCATCTTGGCATCTTGGTAGAAAGAAGAATGGTTTCAGTAGTTCCGTATGGGCTAATATTTCGAAGACTCATGACTCTTTCTTTGCTTGCTTGTCTCTCGTTTGTTCCTCTGGTTTTGCAGCAGGGGTGGTTCGGCCCACCCAGCTGCTCTTTTGCATCTTTCTTTACTTCTTGTTCTCCTTTTCTTTTTTCCTGTTGTTTGGTTGTGGTTAAGCTCTTGTAAACCCAAGTTGCAGCGCTTTACCTCCTGTTTGAACAATATCCTTTTTCTTATTTATATATTATCACTATTATCAAAAAAATGTTTTGTTCAACTGAATCAAACTAACTCGTAAGAATAAATACATGCTATCAGGAGAACTTCAAAGCATCCACCAAGCAAAAAAAATAAAATTATAAGAGTTAACAGTTTTTATGTTCACTGTAATAATATGGTTATTGAATCGGGAAGACAACCTCAAGACATTCTAAATCGTTGTCCATAAAAAAATAGCAAATGGTAAAGAAAAGCACCGTATGATGGTCAACTCTGCTAAGCACGACATGTGGTGCCCATGATTTGGTTCTCATGTCGGCGAGCAAGGAGCAAAGAAATAAGGATGTTGCTTCAGCGCCTCTCCGATTTCGCAATTACTCGACAAAGTTCAAACACAATGGATTCAGAAAAATTGACTCAGCTAAATCATATATCCTAATGATTCTTTTGAAAGTTAATCGATTGAGTAGATCCATTATCACTTTTTATGCTATCTATTCTTTTCAGAAGGTATACAATCATAATGGTTAAATAATCCCTTAAAAAAAGGTCACATAATTGAATAAGTTGTGTTGGATGCTGATTGCTGACCTTAGATCAATTATTTTGCATACGTTGGTTTCTAGAAATCCCAAAAACAATTAACAGTGGATATTGTTTTCCAGCAATCCTTTATACAATAACAATTTTCCAAATTGTCTTGCTTTTATTTTTGTTGTTGTTGTATTCCACATATATATTGTACTGTTAGCATTACAAGTTGTCTTTGTCGATTAATCTTGTGCAGCCACGAACTAACTGTGTTCGAATCCCCGTTGACCGTGTTCGAATCCCCGCGAGTCTCTATTTTAAGAATTAATAATGCATTTTTAAACTTAATGTATGACGGACAAATACAAATTTCAAGTAAATGAATGCAACATGTGAAATATTGAGTATAAAATTCATACTCAAATTTCTCTTAAACAAATCGAGTTAAGTAGTATGACCGCAATCGTATAATCTTGCAAACCTCGAGTAAAACAACACTGTCAACACCATGTGCTATCTTTCTGGCCAAATGTTCTTAATCACCAAGTAGCAGCAACAGTTATAATATATATACTAAATTACTGCAAATGAGCTATCCCATTACAGTCAAGCTCGCGATTAAGACGACCTTTTCATTCAGCCGCCCCCCAAGTAAAATATCATTCCTATTATACATCAACAGTCACAATTTATTATGTACCCTAACCACTCTCCCTATAATAACACCTCCAAATTCAAATCTTTCCATCCATGTAAACTTGCCAGATATTCCTTTTCTGTCCTAGTCTTTCCCCAACGCAAAAACAACCAACCTGAAGGAGACCCTTTACCTGCTACTTAACTGGGCCATACCCATCCCAAGTTGATCCCTTTTTTTACAGTTTAACCTTCCTCCACCTCTATAAAAGAAGCCACCACCTTTTTCTTTACCATTCAGCCTGAGAAAGCTCAGGAAAAACCCAGTAGTTATGGCTACTTCAGGGAGAATCAGCACTAGTGGCAGGATCAGCAGCTCGGACGTATGGAGGAGCAGCAGCACAGGGGACAGAGTGTTCTCGAGGTCAGGAAGAGCCAACGACGACGACGTTGAAGACGACGAGGAAGCACTGAAATGGGCTGCTCTGGAGAAGCTCCCCACTTACCTGAGGATCAGGAGAGGGCTTCTGAACGAAGACCAAGGGAATTCGCGCGAGGTGGAGATCACTGACTTGGGGTTCTTGGAGAAGAGGAACTTGCTGGACAGGCTTGTCAGGATTGCTGATGACGATAATGAGAAGTTCCTGCTCAAGCTCAAGAGTCGCATTGATAGGTAAGAGAAAAAAATGTCGTGGGTGTAATGTGACGGTACTAAAATCGAAAGTACGTTTTGGATGACTCACATATCGCGTGCTTGTTTTCTGCAGAGTCGGGCTGGAAATGCCGACGATTGAAGTGAGGTTCGAGCATTTGAACGTCGAGGCAGAGGCTCATGTTGGAGGCAGGGCATTGCCTACTGTGTTCAACTTCTCTGTCAACATGTTTGAGGTAAATTTTTTACTGAATTTACCACTGCGAGATCAATATAATTTTGTACATTATAGTATGGTAATGAAAAGCAAGAGAGCTTGTTCTGAATCATGTTAACCCTAAAATGTCTTTAATTTGAAGGAAATCTTGAACTCTCTTCACATTCTGCCAAGCAGAAAGAAGCCATTGCCGATTCTTCATGATGTTAGTGGAATCATCAAGCCAGGAAGGTTAGTAGAAACCAAATTGTCTCGTTACAGTTAATAAATATATCAGATCTAAAAAGGTTTTCTTCTTTTTATTTTCATTTGTTCAGTTAAGTCAACAATATTTTTTAATCCATGTACTAAGTTAGCTCCTTGAACAAGCAAATAGTTGTACTATGGATTTTAACAAACAAGTTGCTTTAGTTTACTACTCATATTTCTAACGTAAAGACTAATTCGAGTCCTCTGAGTTGAATACTACTAGTAGTAGTATAATCCGCTAAACCAAGGCTTTATTCATTCTTTTATGAATATTAACATATAACAATAAAAATACTGTCAATATTTGTTACGAGAAGAGATGCTTCCATGATTAGTAAACAAATTCTTGATAACTCACATATCATATAGACTTGAAATCTAAATGATAGATGATTCATAAAGCAATCTAAGATTTGAGACATAAGAGTCGTACTCACGAGTTTGAGTCATCAAGGTTTCCTTACAAAACATCGAGTTGATACTAACTTCAACTCATAATGGAGTGACCGAAAGCGGAAAAATAATATAATACAAGGATATGTTTGTTAAAAATAATAGTATAAAGATGTGTTTGTTAAAAAGGAATACTGCAGATACTAGTTCTTTATTCTGATCTCAATTTTGCCCTCCAACTTCCAAATTTTGCAGAATGACACTGCTTTTAGGCCCTCCTGCCTCTGGAAAGACTACCTTACTGCTTGCCTTAGCAGGAAAACTTAGTAAAGATCTTAAGGTAACTCATGCTTGCCTCCAACCCTAGTAGTAAGTTGTAACCTTCCTTGTGATGAATTGACGCTTTTTTTCCTTTGGGTAGTTTTCAGGAAAAGTTACATATAATGGTCATGAAATGGATGAGTTTGTACCTCAGAGAACTTCAGCTTACATCAGTCAGTATGACCTTCATATTGGAGAAATGACTGTCAGAGAAACCCTAGCTTTCTCGGCAAGATGTCAGGGAGTTGGACCTCAAAACGGTCAGTTAGTTAGTTCGTCGCATACTTATACAACAATCTACCTAGTGTCATTGCTCTTTAGTTTGAGTGTAGTCCAG